TTTAATAAAGTTCAATTAATCTCCCGAAAAAAATATTTCAAATCGTAAACAGAACAATACATTTTGTTGTAACTCAATCATTGATTGTATTTTCTCTTGCTTCGTGGTTTCGAATTTGGAAAGTATAATCAAGTGTAACGAATATACGATAAACAATGCTATTTCGTGCCGGTACGGTATGACCATTTTTGATATATTTCGTTACATTTTAATACATTCATGAATGGAAACTTGTATTCATTATTGAGCTATATTATATACTATACCTTTTCAACTTCAAATTGAGAACAAACAAAATCAAGTTGGGCCCAAACAATTTCTAGTTGGGAATGAACGCATTCAAATCGAGGTCGATCACTTCCAAATTGAGACTTGACTCTTCAGTGGTCGCGTGCAGAAATTGACCATGTATTGTCGCGTTGATTACAATAGTAAACCATTTTAAATAATTATTCAAAAAATCATCGCTGAAAATTTTTAGAATTCAAATTATATGTGGATGTAGAAGCTTAAACACCATTATTTATATAACATTAATACCCTAATATTATTTAAGGATGCATTTATTTTTTATGAATTTTGCTTACATTGCGCGTAATTTTTCACTGTTACCAATAATGTAAATTATACACACACACACACGTACATACATACATCGTCAGGTCCAGGGAATGGTGCCGAAAAATCTCTCAACTGATCAGGACTATCAAAAAAACCCTGTGCGTTCAACTTCTTGAGAGGATTGCCAATGACCAAGCATTCTTCAATTGTGTGATCACAGATTATGGATCCGGGATATTTGAGTTCGATCCTAAAACAAAGCGCCAAAGCGAACAGAGGTATACTCCTTTATCTCCTTAGCCGAAGAAATGTCGAATGAGGAAATCAATCATGCTTATTTGTTGTTGGTTTTTTGACAGTAAAGGTATTGAGCACAATGAATTTGTTCCGCCAGGACAAACTGTCAACCAAGTGTTTTATAAAAATGTCCTTGAAATTCTCAGGAAAAGAGGGATTTGTGTGAGACCATACATTGCAGACAAGTGGATGCTTCATCATGACATGATTTTCCTGAAGTTGAACCATGTCCTAAAAGGACGTCATTTTGAAACTCTGGAGAACATTCAAAAGATTGTGACCGGACAGTTAAATGCCGCACTAGTTGAAGACTTCCAGCGTTGTTACCAAGAGAGAGGAACAACGACTCCGCCGGCGTATAGCTTCCCAAGGGAATTACTTTGAAGGGAATAACGTTGTTTGAAAAAATAAAAACTTTAGATGGTATAAAATCAGTCTACTTACTTTTCCAGCATACCTCATATAGTTTCATCTCATTCTCAATAATTTATCCTCCGGAAACAATGAAAGGCATTCCAGTCGAGTCTTGGCATTTTTTTCCTTTCGACTTAGGAAGAGGTGGATGGAAAATAATATAATGCGCACACGTGCGTACATTTGGAGGTGGAGATATATTGTTCCACTTGGTACTACCATCTCTGCTAATAAAATAACTGTGCGAGTTCATTGAAATCTCTTCATTATCCGATTTTTGTTCACTTTCATTATCATGCATGCTCTTGTAATACGACGTCTTCGTCTTTTAACCAGTAACAGATCTGTTAGTCATTCATGTCTTCAGTATTCTTCACCGAAAATTATATGACACCACGTAAAAAATAAAAGACATAGCTCAACACAAAGAAGCACACTCAACCGACTTCGTCAGAAGCTGGAACATGAATAGTCGCGTGAATTACAATGGTAATTCAGCCTATTTGAAAGGTTATCAGCGTCACCCCTGTTTTCGGTTAAGTGTTAAGACACCACAATATGGAAGGGGTCACCTTTTAAGAAAGGCTGCCAATTTTAAAATATTACAAATACAAGATTTTCTCAAAACCAGCTCAATTTTTTTTCTTTACATCATTGGTAGGTATTGTGCTAAATGAACTTTATAAAATGACTTAAAGGCCATATTTCTCTATTTTTTGTTTTTACAAAAATTTATTTTTTGACTTGTCTATCATGTTGTTAATATTTATAGTAGGATTTGTTCACATTATTGTATTTGTGAGTACATATGCTTTAAATAATGGCGTATACAGCTTCTCAAAACCTCAACCGTTTTCTATCAAAACTA